TTTTTTTTTTTTTTAAGTAATAATATATGACCATCGGCTTTTTATATTAAGTAATAGATTTGATATTAATCTATTATATTTTAATAATACGTACAACATAAATAGTAAACCATTTATCTATAACAACTATTACCAATCATATAATATATTCGGTACATATATTTTAACATTCAATGGTTTCGGTTAAACGCATGCTGGTCACATGGATAATATTTGTGTAACCATAGTATGAACTACCTATTAAAGTAGTAACATTACTAGGTTGTAGATACATTTATTATTTGAAACATTGAACATTTAAAATGTAAATATTATTATTGTATTTAAATTATATTTATTAATAATAAATTATATAATTATTCATTCATATATTAAATTATAACTTACAGGGAAAGATTTACTAATGTATAGTAGGTAATGTTGTTTCATTTGTGTAGACTATTGGTCTTGTATCTTTTGTTATGAATATAATACTCTTCTATAGACATTTACATAGTATAGAACATATTACATATAGCCAATATTTAGGAACAGAATTCAAAACGTCGTTACACATACACATGCCCAATATTATATACTCCAGGGGTGGCCATCAGGTCGATCGCGACACCATTTGGCATTTTTTTTAATTTTTTAATTTTTTTCAGAAAAAAATTATTATTATTATTATTTTTGTAAATGTGTGTATCTTTGTATATACTATTGTGTGTATACTTATGTAAAAGTTTTAGTATATAGTTATAATAGAAATAGTTTGAATTWAATATATTAAATTACGTTTTGTGTGAAATTGTGAAAATTAAACGTGTTAATATAATACTTGTGTACAATAATAATATAAGTATAACAGTACTTCTATATTTAATTAATAATTAATTTTTGTTTTGTTTATTGACCTTTTTTTTGTTTTTGGTCGATTGTGACAACCTTAAAAAACGCAGAGGTCGATCCCTAGTCTTTTAAAGTTGGCCACCCCTGATATACTCAATATCATCCCTAGACGCCCATTCAGTGCCTATTAACTAACATAAATTTAAAAAAACT